TTTCAACAAGCCATGGAAAAGTTTGAAGCTGTAGATAGAGAAGCTCATAGGGGGATGATTGAAAATGATGTGAGATCTTGGTCATGCATTCGATCTTGATTCCAAATCTGATCATGTTACAAATAACATGTGTGAAGTCTTTAATAGTTGGTTGGAGAGAATAGAGAATTGCCCATACTAAGCTTGTTAGAGCATTATGGTACAGATGCAAGCTAGGGCAAAGGCTAGGAATGATTGGGTCACAACTGTTCCCCCTGTTGTACATAGGAAAATCAATGGTCTAATTGAGTTTGCTAAGAATGTTGAAGCTATCTGCCCTAGGAGTGATGAGTTTGAAGTGGTGGATAACAACTGCCTTCCTAGTAGACGTTACATATTAAACCTTCAATCTCAAACTTGTGACTTTGGAATGTGACAACTTTCTGGAGTCCCTTGTGTGCATGCAGTCCGTTGTTTGCTTTTTAGGAACATTAGAAATATGGAGGATTATGTGGACTCTTCATTAAGGATCACTTCATACGTAAAAACATATGCTGATCACATTCACCCCATACCTGACCCACTTAGTTGGCCTGACTTGCTTGGGGGTAGGCAGCTGAATCCACCTATCAAACATAACAAGGTTGGGAGACCCAAAAAGGCCAGAAAAAAGGATGCTGATGAAGAACCAAGGATGACCAAAGGTGCTACACTTAGGTGTGGGATCTCTCGAACTTTAGGACATAACAAGAGACATTGCCCACAAAATCATTCAAACAACAAGAATCAAAGGGTATTTTAAAGCTTTTATTTAACATGATTAGTATTGTTTTTGTAATAGAATTTTCTTGCATTAACATTTGTTTACTATGCTTTGTTTAGAGAGGAGAAGCTTCATCAGCCCCAATAAGTTAGATATGTCAACATTAAAGCAACTGTCAAGGGTAGCAGGTTAGTGTAACATCAGTCCTTCAAATTTTAACATTGTGACATTGCTTCAAACTGTCAAGGGCAGCCCCTTAAATTGATTTTATGATTTTTTTCAGGTACTTAAGGAGTGTGGTGTTAAAGCATGCTGTTGTTTTTTGGTGTGATAAAACTATAGAAGCATGATGTTGGTTTTTTTTGGATGTGTGGAGTTGAAGCATGCTATTGTATTTTGGTGAAATTTGGGGAAGTTGTACATAGGACTTTGTTTGTTAGTCTTGGTGTGCAAATATGGTGTTATAATATTATACAGATAGCAACTGATTTAGGTTGTCTATTATGAATGTTGTAATTGATTTAGGACTGCTGCAGTGGGTTTTTTTTATGTAATATGCGGCTTTAATTTTCTGTTTTTGGGCTGTTGATCATCACATTTCAAGGCCAAATTATGTATTTTTCATATATATGTTCAATGCAAAAGTGTTTAACTCAGTATGTATGGTTGTAGTATGATCTTTGATGTTGGTTTTGTGTAGGATGTGTTTGTGTTCAAACTTGAAACTTTTCAGGATGTATGCCAATTTTTAAGAAATATTACTTTGTCATTATACAGTTAAACCCTCAACATTCAAACAATTGTTACTGACCTTTCAAACGGTTTAGGGGCATTAGAGTAATTTCACTATATTTGGAAAATAAACTAAAGATATGGGCATTTTTGGTTTTTTACAGTCTATTTAGTTTTTATTTGTTAAATAATCTAAAGTCAAAGGTTCAAGGGTATTTCAGTCATTGTTAATCATTGTCACTGTGTCAGATCCATCCGTTATTAACAGTGTTAGATTAAGGGTGGCAAAATGGGATAAATTGAACCAACCGTATTAACTTGGGATTTCCCCAAACTTCGGGTGGGATTATGTCGTTTGCTCTTAATAATATTTTGAAACTTTGGTCAATCCGCTCCAAGTTTAAGAGATGACAGGTCAACTTGATGTGACAAATCTAGTTAAAGATCACCTATATTATATTCTTTATTGTTTCAATCAACTACATTACCGAAATTACATCACCCTTTTACCGTCGGTCCACTTTCCCGATCAATGATATTGGAATTTTGAAGTGCATGTTTTGAGATCTTCGTAGAGGGCCAGGAACTATTCCCATTTGGCCATTTCCCACATAGACACTATGGCTCAGGTGTAGTTGTAAATTATTTATGTACCGAAACAAGAGATCTGATTCAAAGAAAAATCCAAATCCAATATTGATGGAGCATGCATGCAACGTACAAGTCTACAAGAATTCATCCTTACATTTCAAGAAAATTAAAGAGAAAATGATAAATATTGTATATGTTTGACATGTCGCTGGCTAATCTTCTCTCAAGACTTCCACTGCCGGCTCTTGAATCTGATGAACTCAACAATTAACACCAACCTTGAGGCCACCTATGACGAGGATCCCATCTGGGGAATAACCATCTCTTTTTCTTCGAATTTGATCCTACGGCAACTTCTCCTTTCTCGTAAGTTTTGAGAAAAATCCTCTACCGCGGCGGCTTGGCGTTGGGGCTGCAAGTTCAGGCTGATGTTTGTTTACATGAGTTTGGGTTAAGTAGTTGAAGTCATCGTCCTCAGCAGGGAAGATCTCATCACGAGTGCGGATTGAGTTCAGCTTTAAATACTTTTGTTCAAGTGACTCTTTGGGTATGTTTCTTGCTAACAAGGGAGAAGCAGCGCCCCAGTGATTGGTGCCCAAAGATGGGTGTTGGGGTGTTCTAAATTCTACTAATTCTCTTTGACTCATTCGTTTAATTTCAATCGCCCCACTGTAGGTTTTTCAAGGCTCTAAAGCAAAGAGAAAGAAGGTTATTTGTGCATAAGAGAGAGCAAAACAGAAGAGAAAGAACTGATGCAAAAACAGTCTGCATTTTTCATTCAAAACAGAGAAATATATGAACCTAATACATCACTGTTACAACTACTTTTCAGTATAAATAATCTTTAAATATACTACAATTTGAACCACNCAGAAGCCAAATCATGTAATTGGGTGGCGCAGGTTGATAGAGTGGGAACTTTGGTGGGTAAGGTTAATTTGTTAGGTTAGGGTTAGGAATGGAGCATAGAAATAGAAGCTCGGTGTCGATTTTTAACAAATAAAAAAAAGGAAGAAAAAGAAAAAGAAAAAGAGAAAGAGAGGGAATATTCCCAAAATAACATGCACCAGACAAAAGGGATATTCAGAAGGAGGAAATAGGAGAATAAAAGGACACGTGTCAGGAAGAGAATCGGTTCAGGCTCTCATTTATCTTTAGCTTTGTTAAGGGAAGGAGTAGAGAGAGAGAGAATCAAGAGAAAAGGCATGGGTTGGAGTCTTGTAGGAGAAGACTGGATTATGGAAACTGGAAAGCGACTAACCTCTCCTCTTCACATTTCATACAAAATTCAGATAAAAGGGAATTCGATGCACTCGTCTTTGTCTTTACTGCATGTTATACTATACTATTACCACTCCAAATTTAATTGCATTACCATTTTCCTATGGTATCCTATGCATAATATTCCACTCCCCAACACACCCTATTTTCTTAGTTATTTGGTAACCGAGGCGTTTGAGCCGGCTTACGAACATCTCAACTAAACTTTAAAGTCTATTGAACACCCTACAAACTTAAAAGATCGGGTAAACCACAATGTTATTGTAATAGATGACCTCAAAGTTTAAATCCAAGAATTCAAGGAAATGGAGGAAACTTCTTTGACAATTAGGCCAACCCTTCGGGATTTATTTCCTTATTTCTCAATTGCTTGCAGCAATTAATCAAGATTATGCTATCTTTTCACATATACACATGTATATATAATCCATTAATCTACAAATAAAATTGCATGGATGATGATGGATCTTCATTACTGTGCAAAGCTTAATTATATAATAAATATATTTAGAGGGAGAATCTGCTTACCTTCCAACCCACTTCATTAAAGTTGGTAGCAGAAGAAGATTCCCGGCTCTTAAGAGTCCTTTATTGTTCTTTTGGGGTGGGATTTTGCCTTTAAGCTTTGAAGGTTGTGTTGTTCCCTTAATTTAGAGTCGTAGAATTGGAACTAAGATATTCTTTCCTTAGGCCCAAATATTTTATTCTTTTATGTTTATAGAGAAAGAGATTAGATTACATATTCCCCTTTCTTCTCTCTCTGAATGCACTCAATTTTAGAACAATTATGCAACTTTTGAAACCAAAAAGAAAGTTGCATGGTGCATTGATACTAAGCACCTCTCTGAATATGTCCTTTTTCTCTCTCTTTCTCTCCATTATATTACTATTACAATTACATTAATTTTTATAAAATGGTATATGCTGCTTTTCAATCCCCTTTTCTTTTTATTAATCATCCCAGAATCATTATTTCTTTATTTTTTTTTTAACCTAATTCGAATACTTTGGTAAATACGCCCACGCCCTCTATCAACCTACACTTGTCCAACGTCTATCATATTCTCACACATGATCGCTTCATCCTAACCGTACAATCCCTTCATTCCTTTTTTTTACCATCTTTAAGATCATCATCATCACCTCCCACAATTTATATATTGTATATATTATTCATCTACTTAATGAACTAATGATTCCTTAATCAGGATAGTGCAAAATTCTATGTGGATATCGAGGATGGTATTAGAAAAACCAGATTAATAAATGAGAAATGAGGCTTTACGTTTTGTGAAAGATGACACACTGTTAAGAGAATGTAAAAGTAGGATGAAGACGCATCTGCATGACAGAGTAATAGGGTTATATAAATTATCAACAAAATGGAAAAAAAGAAAAAAGAAAAAGGAAGATAACAGTGAGAAGAAGAATCATCTTTTCTATTTACAGGTTTTGAATTCGTATAAAGACTATACCAAAGGGGGTTCAAAAACCAGGCCATAAGCACATGACCCCTCAACTGTCAGAGGTTTGATTCCTTCTCTCAAAGAAGAAAGAGAGAACCTCTCTCTGATTTATAGCTTTTTTTTTTTCTGCCTTTGTTCTTTGCAAGAAGTTACCATCCCTCTTTATCCCTTGGCTTTTTCTTTTAATCTATCTCTACTTTATTCTCTTGAACTCACCCCTAAAAAGAAGACGATCCCCCCTCGATCCTCCTTGTGTTCACAAACAACATCTTCTCTCTCTCTCTCTCTCTCTCTTTGAAATCAAACCTAGAAAGCTAGAGGCCATACAAAATCTTTTGCTCTTGTTTGTTCCCACATATCCTATAATTCCTATTTGAGCATGAACATCTTAACCAACAGTGCGTTTTGAGAAGAGAAGAAAGCTTTTGATTGTTGATAATATACCTAGTTAAACCATGTCATCCCCTTCAGAATTAAGTCTGGATTGCAAACCACACAGCTATTCTATGCTATTAAAATCTTTTGGAGACCATGCTGACCAAACCCAAAAGCTTGAAGAGGTCCTTATTCGTCTTGAGGAAGAGAGGTTCAAGATTGATGGTTTGAAGCGTGAGCTTCCTCTTTGCATGCAACTTCTCACCGACGGTTCGTATTTCTATTATGTCTTTTACTTCTTATTTGATGCATATATATATACATCAAACTCACTCATCATCTTATTCTTTAATTGCATTTCGGATGATTATTATTTTTATTTATTTACTTATAGATAAAGAACATACAAGGAATTCAAGCTAGAACCATGAACCTGATTATGATAACATAAAGAAATTGTTTTAATCTGGTTCTAGCTATTGCTGGATATTCATGTTCTTTGCTGCGACGTTTGGCTTCCAAACTTTTCTTTAATTTATCTTTTTCTCATTTTATAGAAACAAGTGATTGCTTTCTGTTAGCCCCATCTCTTTGAATTCAAAAGTAGCTATGTTATTCTACATTTATATCCGTAAAGAACTAAAGCCAGCGTTAAATTTCCAAAAGAAAGTTATATAATAATCAATATTTTTAATTTTCTTTTTCCTCAGCTGTGGAGGTTTCAAGGCAACAACTACAGGCCTATAGAGCAAATCAAGGGCCGCGACCAGTTCTTGAAGAATTCATACCCCTCAAAAATTGCAGCTCCGAAAACTCAGACAAATCCCCAACCATCTCCGATAAGGCAAATTGGATGACAACTGCTCAACTTTGGAGCCAAACAGGCAATGAAACCAAACCACAAGCCAATACTACGTCCCCTAAAGAGACTGATGTAGGATTCAATGTTAGTCCCAAGCTGGCCCTCGATAGCAAACAGAGAAATGGAGGAGCTTTCCTTCCATTCTCAAAAGAACGAAACTCGTGCCCGAGTCCAACTTTAAGGGCTCTGCCCGATTTGGCCCTTGCATCTGCTGATAAAGAGATGGAAGATAAGAAATGCAATGAAAATAATGAAAATGGAATTTCTTGTTCAAGGAGAGAGAATATTGGTAAGGTTGGGAATGTTGGGGTTGCGATTGAACAAGTAAAAGGCACTTGTAATTCAATAGATGGTCAAACAAATTCAAACAATCCTACAAATGCTTCCCAAACTCATAGGAAAGCAAGGAGGTGTTGGTCCCCGGACTTGCACCGCAGATTCGTGAATGCTCTTCAGATGCTTGGTGGTTCTCAAGGTAAGAGAACAAACAGGAACTCAAATCAATAAATCCAGCAAACAAAAAGTGTTTTTTTTTTTTTTTTTGGTCATATAAATTTGTTATTGTTCAAGTTCATAAAGATAGTCAAATTATATATCATTGTCATAATGATTATATTTGATAATCAAAATCCTTTTGGGTCATGCAAACAGTAGCGACTCCAAAGCAAATCCGGGAGTTGATGAAGGTTGACGGTTTGACTAATGATGAAGTTAAAAGCCATCTGCAGGTATCTCTCTCTCTCTCTCCTTCTTTCTACGAGACATGCAGTTGCAGGCAGGAAGGCATGAAACAGATTTTGTCCTATTTTCAGCCCTGACATGCGTACCATACTGTAAAATGTTGGTAAAAGCTAATGATTTTTTTTTTTTACTTGTTTGGTTCAAACAGAAATACAGGCACACAAGACGACCTAGTCCAAGTCCACAAGCACCAGGAGCCCCCCCACCACAGTAGTAGTTTAGGTGGCATTTGGGTACAACCAGAGTATGCCACGGCAGCAGCTGCAGCCCACAACGGAACTCCCACTCTCTATACCATCCTCCCTCATACTCCAACACATTTCTGTGCCGCATCACCGGTACCACAAGATTTTTACACTGCACAACCTCCACCGCAGCCGTCAGTACCACCTTTGCCACCACCCCACCAACAGATGCACCACCACAGCCTCCAAAATCAACTCCACCTCTATAAGGCCAGCTCACAAGGCCACAATTCACCGGATTTGATTTACGGGGAGCTGGAGACCGCTCGGAGAGCATAGAAGATGGAAAGTCCGAGAGCAGCAGCTGGAAGGGAGAGTGGTGAGAATGGCATTGCGGAGAGAAGAGGGTTGGCTGCACTCAGGGAAGATGGTGAAGAGAGCAATGGAAGTGAAATAACTCTCAAGTTTGATGTTATTAGAATAGGGTTAGGGTTTTTTAGATCTCCGAAGTTGCTACCCTATTACTGTTATATTATTATTATTATTCGAAATTCTTATGTTAAATATCTAGAGAGGGTTAAAACGACATATTTAAAAAGTGAACGTTTGTTTTGTACTCTTGAAGTGTTTGATGTCCTTGAAAAAGATTGAAATTGGATTATAGGGTGTTGGCGTTTTCCCTTAGACGGATTTACCCTTACTCATGTATATAGGGCGGCTTCTACCCATTTGGACTGACTTGAACATAAAGCAAAGTCTTTGTTTGTTTGTAAAAACAGAAGGCGACATAGAAATGATGTCATCAATCGATATGTTTGTTTAATTTAGAAGAAATAACCCTTTTTTAATTAAAAAAAAAAAACATATGGTAATCTTTTATGGGGAAAAAAAACAGCTTAAAAATATAATGAAACACATCGGTATTGTTGTAATATGTTCCCCATGAATTAAGGACGTGAAAATAGGTAGCACCGAAAGTGTGGAGGAGGATGTCTTTCAGAAGCTTTGTTAAATTATAATATATCCACCTCTTTTCTTTCTCTTTCTTTTTCCTGCCTTTATTTATTTCCTTGTTTATTTGACTACAGTCAAGCGCAGGTGTACGTATGTTTTTCCATTCAAACCAGGCTTTGGGACACTAGTACCTGCTTTTAACTCATCAAGTTAACTGAACAGTCAAAAAGTGTTTTTAATTTTTCTGAACTCAAGCAACACTATTTCACAAGGGCCAATAATCGAATGGTCGTAAGAAAATATAGTTTAATACATTATCACCCTGAAATTTGGTATAAAATGTTTTCCCCCTCAATTTTGGAAAAAAAAATGCCAATACCCATAATAAATTAGATGTAGGAATAAAAAATAATTTTAAAAACGTTATTTTAATATTCAATAATTCTAACAATATTAAAATGCTCAAGGCTTTGGACAAAGTAAAAATACCAGTGAATGGTAACAACATTAGTGGCCAAGATTTTTGATAAGGTGGCCATTGAGGACTTATTCGTTATTAACTTTAAGATTTTAACAATTAGTTGAGAACACATAAATAGGCTCAAACACCTTGATTAACAAAAAAAAAAAAAAAAAAAAAAAAAAAAAAAATTAATTTGTTACCCAAAATTGGGGGAATTGTTTTGCTGTCCGACCTTTTTTTTTTTTAATCACCAGGGTGTTTAAACCAGCTTACACACACATCAACTAATTTTTCAAAACCCTGAAACTGTCGACTGAATAAGAGTCTCAATGGCTAACCCTAGACCTCTCTTTTACCTCTATGACATTGTAGGACAAGCAACACATACGTTTCTCATGAAATTTTTAGATATCATAGCTGTAATGATAGATACTTTCCATTTACCGAAATCACAATTATTTGCATTTAAGTTGTGGAAACACCGTCAATGAGAGTGAATGCGCAGACCGCAGATGCATACATGTCTCATATCCAAATCGGATTGATAAAGCCTCTGCATATTAACAATGTGTAAAATCGTCCATTTAACTAAAATTTGCACAACCAAATACTATAAAGTATTAAGGAATTGATAGATACAATACAATTATACAAGGAAGTGATTATATTAACACTTCAAATTAGTAGCTCATTAGCCCCCAGTGTAGATATCTACATAAACATATCCACTAAGTAGATTATAAGACAGCTAGAATCTGGAATCAACCCCTCAAAACTACACCACAATATCATTCATTGATGCCGTTTGTCAGGCCTCCTCCATCCTTCAAACCAAGATCATCACCCATGTCACTTTCTATCATTGCAACATCAACCATTGACTGCACAGAAAAGATACATGATTCAGCATTTTAAGTCCTAAAACGGTAACATAGCACAAACCTTTAGTTCATACCTCCTGATTAACATTGTATTTCCATAGTATCAATTGAAGGTTCTCCACATCAGACATGCAGAAACTTTCCTCCCATTCTTTGTTATTATATCAATTATCATGATGTGCCATTGAATATTTTTGTAACATGCAAATTACAGCACATGCTAGATATATAGCCCTACATTGCATCATAAATTCTCTTAAAATTACGTGCAGTGCTTGCACCTCATGCACAACACAATCAGAACAAGCTAAAATTTTGAGGTATTAAGAGAAGATAAGAGTTATGACAAACTCACTCAAAACATATTTCCTTCAGGGGAATGAATAAAATGGTAAGTTCAATTGTGGGACAATAAACTAATTAATATATATAGGACTGCGAGTGTGGTGCACGATCCCAAGTGAAATATGTATTCTAATGTGGTCGCAGGATTTCGATCCACTCTTTGCCTATATGAAAGGACAGAAGAAATTCTCCACTATACTGTTCTTTTTTTTTTTTTTAATCCCTCAACTCTTCTCTAAATACACAAGTTCTAAATTAGAGGCTACTTCCACACTCTACAAGCTTGGCAGCCAGAAAACTAAGAGGATATAATATCCCAAGCAAGTGGCCTCAGGGGATTTGAAGTTTTGAAACCTGGACCTCTTGGTTTAAATCAAAGGCCTTTAACACTCAGTCAATCCTTAGGCTAAACAACAATAAGGGATAACGAGCAGCATCACCAACAAAACTGCACATGTCATGTAGAAGCATACACATTTCATGCTAGAACATGCTTTAACCTAACAGCAGAGCACACCAACAATGATGATTGCATGGTTTCATATTCATACTGACTATATCTATAAGTTGAAGAGACAGACCTGAAGTTCCTGTTCACAGCTCCTAAGTCTTTCGGCACTCTCGTTAACTTGTGTAAAACATCTGTACAGCTGCAGATCAATCACAAAATGTAAGAAGTTATCCAGATAATGTTCCAGCAGAGTTATTTACAGCCAACTGACAAATAAAATAATCACCTTGGTCACCTGTTTCTGACGATGAGAAGACAGCTTCTTTGCATCTATCAACGCATCCTCCAGTTTCTGCATCCACCATCAAATTCCAAGTGGGGAAATGGACGAAAAGGAATAAATTGAAGTAGAGCCAAGTAGATGATTGAACAGCACATAAGCTCAAAAATAGTGCTATGTCCATGGAAAAAAATATACCTTAGATCTTTCCTGTAAATCAGAGACAAGTCGTTCTTTTTCATCTAACCGGTCTAACATCTGAGTAATCTGAGAAAGCAGCAAACTTTAGAATGTGTTTTAGCACAAGCAAAATAATGTGAAAATAACAAAACAATAATAATAAAGAAAGTGAATAGATGGCTATAACAACAAAGGGTTGCTGGGATCAACTTTGCAGGTTCATAAACCCACTAAGTTCAATTCCCTGACACCAATGTCAGCGTAAGTTCAATTGTATGGGGCACACTTTATATACCAAATCGCCTTTAAAATTCATTTAATGACATGAAACATCCAACTGGATGCACGGTTTGAGCAACTACAACATAGAACATATCATATGACTTTGTACAACTACTTCCATCAATTCAAATCCCAGAAAGAGAGCTCACCTCCTTTTTTAGTTCTTGACGCCTTTGAACTGATCTGTCCAGCTGTTCTTTCACCTGATAAGGGAACATGATAAATGAAGGCAAAAAAGCAACAGACACAAGCTGGCCATTAAACAAGCTTAACATGAAAAACTTACCTCATCATTGTAATCATCATCTGAATTTGATGAAAGTTCCCTGGTATGCTGATCGTTAATTGTAGAACTACCATGGAAAAGGAATGGCAAAGTAAAACTTCAATCCAATAAATAAAGATGAAGCGATTCACTATCAACATTTTATGAAAAGACATTAATGATTTAAATCAATACTAGAAAAGATATGTGCCACACCAGTTATATTTATTGGCAAAACATATTAACAATCAGCAGCATTGAGGATATTAACATTTGATCTATTAAGATGAGATGCATACAAAGGAAGTGAACATCTTTCTTGACACGTTAGATTCTTTACTGGAATCATTATAAAAAAGATTAATTGACAATAAACCCTATGATTGTTGGTGTTTAATTTAAAACTCCCTACCAGAACATAACTGATGAGTCAACAATAGACCAAAAGTACCCAAAGCAAGTCCCACAACAAGCTGAGGTAACTCTAGGTAACTTTAAAAGTTGATCCACTTCATGGAAATTTTCTTTATTACATAAACTTTTACTGATTTAAGACAATAAATCTATTCAAATATAGAAACGTGTGACATGGAAATGATTTGATTTCTGTCTCATAATTCGTATTGCATTCTGCATTCTCTTTGTAAGGATTATATGTTGCCAGCAATCAAATTAGTAAGGATTGTTGTTGTTGTTGCTGCTGTTGTATGTGCGTGTGTGTGCTTTCCTAATTTCTTCCTTCTTTTTAGGGTGCAGGGAAGATCTACACATGGATAGAAATACAGTAGTGTAGCAATGCATTGCCAATTCCATAAACTAGGGCCTGATACTTAATAACTAAGGAATGCTACAACTTGGGCCAAATTAGTATAGACAGCCAATTAATAACTAGCTTTAATTGGCCTTTCAATGACAAATAGTTTAATAAGGGAGAAAAAAAGAAAATAGTAAATACAGATCGACTTACACACTCCGTTTCCTTGAAGAACATTCTTTACCCTTAACGACACTTTTATGATAGCCATTGGTTCCATCAATTTCCCTATCTTGGTTTTGATCAAACTCACTATTCGTTTCCCACTCTTGATCATGGTCCCTAGCAAGCCCTAGCTTGTTATCCTTTAGATATCTGTCTTGATCTCTACCCGAGAAATGGTCCCTTGACGGATCACGATCATGGGCATGCTCATATCCTCTTTCCTTATCTCTATCATGGTCCCGAGATGGAGAACGCCCTCTGGACCTATCACTGTACCGATCCCAATGCCTGTCCCTACTATGATCACTATCCCTTTCACGATCTCGACCTTTATCCCAGTCACCACGACGAAACCGCTCTCGACCAAAGTTTGATTTCCCACCTCTGGTTGTAACTTCATTTACTCTCACTACTCGACCCTCAATTGTCTATCACAAATTTCACAATGTCAAGGGCTTAAAATAAACGAAGGACCTCCAAAACTGGCAAGTAATAGTTCAAGTCAGTTTTTAAAATATTGATAGAGAAAATCCATACCCTGCCATTCATGTCATTGATGGCATCAATTGCCGATCGAGGATTTGTAAAAGTAACAAAGCCATAGCATTTTCCCCTAGTCCCACGATCATTAACAATCTGCAGCCAAATGTACAGACAAAGTTGATCATCTTATATTACCCAACCACAAATACTGGACATTCAACATAAAGCCAACAATCCTTTAGTTATTATGGGACGAATTAATAAAATTATAGCTGATAACCAAACTAGCGACTCCAATTCATGTATTCAGAAATTTACAGTGATCAACCAACTTAATTTGCAAGAAGAGAATAACCCAGTCGATTTGTGGTGGAGATTTTCAATAAGAAGCATGAAATATGTAAGTTTCACTGTTTCAGTAAAAAGTGTACTAATATCTCTACGAACCAAAAACGAAATATAATGATAGACAGTATGAAGCATTGAAATTGAAAGACAAAAAGAAGAAGAAGAAGCATTAAACGGTAATAGAAAACCTACATAAAAAATAAAAAATAAAAAAATAAAAGGAGAGAGTGAGGGAAAGAGAAATGAAATGAATAGTGAGAGTGAGACCTTAACGGCGACAACAGAACCGTAGAGATCGAAGACTTCGCGAACGGTGCGCTCCGTGGCGTTATAGGGCAGTCCTCCGACGTAGACAGAACTCTCATCGTCTATTGTCATCTTCACTTCGGCCTTCTACAAACTCTAGAACTAGTATCAGAATCAATTCTTGTTTTCTATGTTTAATTGTTGCTCTTGTTTGCTCCTGTGTATTTTTGCTTCTTTCTGTCCTGGCTTGTCCCCTTACTAGGGCCTAGTATTGGGCCTGGTCTTTGATCCATAGGGCAGAGATTGACAGATGTTTAAGTCATTAAGTGTATGTGGTAACAATATTTAATATCTCCGGTTTATTTCATATGTCAGGGGGTGTGTATATATATATAATGCTACGGACACCATAACTCTACACTGAATTACGTGTCCTGTGACTCATACCAACTATGTTTCACGTTCACAAATATTTTACTAGTGAACGACCGTTTATCAACTATGAACGCCCGTCTATATGTTATAGACAAGAGTCCATATAGAAAGGTTATATGGACGACCGTCCATAATATAATAAAACGTTTTTTTAATTTACTTTTTTTTTTTAATTTGCGAAAAAACATTAGCTTGTCCAATACGGCTTCTCCAAAAACAAGCGCCAAAATTCTTCGAGCGAAAGAAAAAAGAAAAAACTTCATTTTATACCTATTGCCGCCTTTTGCTTCATCGTTCGCATATGTTCTTCGAGCCTGCATTCTTCTCGAGTTTCTTCCTCAACAGCCGTTTCTTCCTCAACAGCCTTTTCTTCCTCAAAAACTAACTACTGTGACAAGAACAAAAGCCATAAATTTTTCATAAAACAATTGTTTAGAGTGGAAAGGGAGATAAGAAGATCAAAATTTGTCTAGATTAGAAAGATTTGTTGAGGTTGTTAAGTGGTTTTTATTTAATTTATGCATTTATTTAGTTTTGTATTCTATTTTGGATTGAATATATATTACAATAGAAAATAACTGATAGAGAATATTTGTTGGTGATTATTGTGAATTAGATTCATGAACGTGAACACTAGTATTGGTTTTGCATTAAATTACAGAATATGGAAGAGTCTAGTTTGCCTCATTTCAATGATGTTGAGGTAAATTGTGCTCGAAACCTTAACTTTTTCGTTAACATGATTTTAAATTTATTGTATCGTATTGTTTCTTTTGATGTGTTGTATTAGTACATTCTAATTTTGTCTATTATAAAACTATTAAATGATCAGGAAAATGAACGTGATGAATTAGAAGATGGAGAGATGAGATATGTGACAGTGGCATGTTCTTGTTCTAGGAAGGAGAGATGTAAGTCTAGAAATACCTTGAAAAAGCAACATGTTGCCAAAACAGATTGTAAGAGTCGGATTAGTGCAACTTTGAATGGTGAATGCAAATGGGAAATTAAATCAATTGTACTTGAACATAATCATGATCTTACAAGTTTGACAAAAAGAAGATATTTCAAGGTTAACCGAACGATACAACCTTATCTGAAAAGGAGACTTGAAGTTAATGATGTGGCTGGGATTAGACCGTGTAAAAATTTTCAGTCATGTTCAGTTGAGGCAAGAGGTGTAGAGAATTTGACGTTTCTACAAAAAGATTGTAGGAACTACATTGAAAAAGTGAGAAGGCTACGACTTGGAGTTGAAGATGTTTCGACAGTACTTGAGTATTTTATGAAAATGCAAAAGGAGAATTCAAATTTCTGGTACATGATTGATATAGAAGAAAAGAGTCGATTACAGAATGTGCTATGGGTTGATGCTAGATGTAGGGCTGCATATAAAGAATTTGGTGATGTTGTCACCTTCAACACAACGTATCTGACAAACAAGTATGATATGTCATTTGCTGCTTTTGTGGGGGTTGATCATCATGAACATTCGACGTTGTTAGGTTGTGGGTTAATTTCCTATGAGGACATTGAGACATTTGTACGGCTATTTCATTCTTAGCTTGAATGCATGGATGTTGCTTCTAATGGAATTATCACTGATCAAGATAAGGTCATGCAAAATGCAATTGAGATTGTTTTCCCTGGTATAAGACATAGGTGGTGTTTGTGGCATATAATGAAGAAACTGCCTGAAAAGTTAAGAGGGTATAAGGAATATGAAACTATAAAGTTTAAATTACAAAATATTGTGTATGATTCCTTTACGCGTGAAGAGTTAGAAGAATGGTGGAACCAATTTGTTGATGTGCACAACCTTCACGAGAATGGATGGTTATGTGGATTGTACAAAGAAAGAGTATGATGGGTGCCTACATTTCTTAAAGATACTTTCTGGGCAAGTATGTCTACTACCCAATGTAGTGAAAGTATGCATGCATTTCTTGATGGGTATGTAAATTCCAAAACTATTTTGAAACAATTTGTGGAACAATATGATAATGTATTGCGAGATAAAGTGGAAAAAGAAAGGGAGGCTGATTTTAGATCTTTCAAATTTTGGATACCATGAATAACTAATTACCCTATTGAGAAACAATTTCAAAATGCATACACAACTGCAAAGTTCAAAGAGTTTTAAGAAGAGATTGCGGGGATGATTTATTGTGAATTATCTTTTCTGAATAAATGTGATTCATACGAGGAGTATCAAGTTTTGGAAGATGTTTGGTTTGGAGATAGTAGTCATCGTGTTCCATTTGTGGTATACTTTGAAGAAAGTTCGTGTGATATTCGTTGTACTTGTCATTTGTTTGAGTTTAGGGGGATTTTATGCAAACATGTCATTATGGTGTTGATTCATAAAAGGGTTTCACACATTCTAGAAAAGTACATTTTACGGCGTTAGAGGAAAAATATAAACAGATGCCATACGAAAATTAAGGTGAGTTATAATAGGTGGAGCACCAACATTGAAGGACAATGTTTTGATAAGTTGTCTAATTTAATGCTGATAGTAGCCGATATGGCATCAAACAATGAGGAAGATTATAATATGTTGACGGAGTTTATGATTGACATGATAAAAAAGTTGGAGCAAAAGGATAGTGAGGGAGGGCTTGGTACAAAAGTGAACATTTCTTCCACAACCAGTTTGAGTAGTCAAGATGGGGACAATCCTCCAAAAGAGGGGAATAGTCTAATTATTAGTCCACAGGCAATTCGTAGCAAAGGTCGTCCTCCATGCAGAAGAAAGCAGTCGAAGGTTGAAGAAATTGTACGTAGGGTTAAAAAAAAATTACAAAAACAAAGAATTGGTATGAGTTATACACCTATTCTTACATGATATTTCTTTTTTGAAACATTATTTACTTATTTGAAGTTTAGAATAATATCGACTTGATTATTAATGTGTTATGCTACTTTTTAGGAAAAGGATCATCAGTAGAGCGAGAAAAGAAACAGTTTCTTTTATCTACTTCCGTGGCCGATGTGGAAACTCAAGTATTGTCGAATGATGTTGTTACTACCCAGGTATGTGTTATGTATGTTGTATAATTGTAATTGGCTTAAGTTTTCTATAACATGTGCTAAATTGTGGTTGTTAAACAATGACAGATGTCCACTGGTCCGGTTCAGAATCTCGTAGGATAGAGTAATTTCTATACTAGACAGGAGTTTGTAAATGATGAACTTGTCTCGTTGGGAGATGTTTGATATTGTTGACAGGTTAAAGCATATAGAATTGTATTTGGTAGAAATTATTCATGCTTTGGTTAATTTTTGCCGAATGCAGTTAAATTGTATGTTGATTCAGTTGTTCTGTTTTTAGTATTCTGGTCATTGGTTGTGTATGAGTAGGCTATCTACTGTAGGGTTGTGAATTCATGATAATGACCTTAATGTAACTTATTATGAATATTTTTAGAATTTATTATCGTCACATTGCAGACTCCAGTTGTAGATGGGATTTTGGATATGCATTTCATTTTAGATTTGAATTTTGATGTCTTTGGGTATGTCTAGTATTACATATACATATGCATTCAAAAGAGTAGTTGAGATATGTATAAACAAAAGGCAAATCTATTTATAAACAAAATACAATCTTTATAAAGAACATCCGCTGAAATCAATCTATTTATAAACAAAAGGCAAATATAATCTTCATACATAAAGCTTAGTATTTGAAGTACACGTAATCATAATTAACATTCATAGTGCATTCCCCAAGAATGTTGACAAGGAGAAGGCTGTTGAGAAATTCTTCATCATGGTGTAAGGGGTGGAGGTTGACTGGAGGAGGAGGAGGCTGTTGAGAAGTTCTTCATCATGCTGAAAATCTCTGTCATGTGTTCCCTAATGATGTCAACTGTTTCTTCTATTCTTGATGCGAACGAGTTGAAATCACTTTGCAATTGATCATGTTGTTCTTGCATTTGCCTCTCAATACGTGAAAAATGCTCCTCTTGAAACTTTTCCATCCGCTCAAATCTGCTTGCTATTTCGTCTAAAGTATGAAAAGACATATCTTTTACATTATGAGATAATCCAGATTCAATACTCGTTCTTCTTCTTTTGCACACATAGACTTGTCCTTCATTTACCCCTTCTAGAACACTAACGTCTTCCTGAACCGTTGCATCTCCCTCCATTTCATCCTTAATCACAAACCATTCTTTTGCCATATTCTTTTTAATCAAACCCATTTTATTCAATGTCACATCCCCTAACACATTATTTGCAAAAAACTTAATCTTATTTGCTGCATCATTAGGGTTGATCTCAATACCCAATTTCTCACATATTAACGTAACAAGCATCCCCCAATATATTTCTCCTTTTTCTGCTTGAATCTCTCCCAACTTCTTAATCAATAACTTCTCTGAATTTACTTGCCTCCCTGCTAGGACTGCTTCCATGAATATTAAATCCTTAACCGTCACATTTTCATTTGTCTCTTTCCTACTATTAAATGTGTAAGTCAGATATCTGTGAAATACTCACATAACAGGATTCTTTAACTTTGTAGATTTACACCTATGTGGATGGTAAATCCCTATCCCATAAATAGCTATCCAAGCTTGTTTGGAATCCTACGTTCTAGATACGTTATCCAAACCTTCAAAATCAAATCCTATCTAGGTTGCTAAATCTTGTGGTCTCACTACAAAGTTCTGATTCTTTAATCTAAAAAACATTGTATACGCTAGAAACTCATCATTATCTGTCTCCACAACTTCCAAACTACCAAAAAACTCATAGATCAAATGCTTATATCCATCATATC